GGTTTTCTAATTTTAGAATTCTATGTTGGGGTTGTTATCGGATGATATTGTATGTATTTTTTTAATAATGTAGGACTTGACAATATGCTCAAAGTAAGAAGCAAAACACTGGATTGTATAAACCTTTATCAATTCCATATAAGCCACGGGCGGTACATATTTTTTATTAGGTTTAGCACGGACATTGAAAAAGCATGATTTTTTCATAATTCTATAACATTTTTCAAAAAATACACTTTTCAAACAATATCATAAAATTGTTGATACACATCATATTGCTAAGCTATATTTTAATAAAGTAGATAAATTATAGTGTCCGCTTAAAATAATTATTCATGATCAAAAGATGTAAATTTCATGAGTTATTTGTAGAAAAATCATTGAAATAAATAAGAGTATAGCTTAGATTTTCAACCACTCACCACCCACAAATTAATGGTAAATTTAAAGTGGTTAACAAAATCTTGAAAATGCATTAAGTTTTATGATAAAGGATCATGTGTATGGGTGGGATTTGATATTATCTATGAATAAACTTACATATAATTCATATATCATTACGTCTACTAACACAAGTATATTTGAGATTGTCACAAGGTAACAACCTAGGAAACCTACAGATCATGTTAAGCTTCCTGCAGACTCTAGATCTATACCATTTGCATAATATATGCATGATTTGCACAAGTTTATTCACAAAAAACTTGCTACTAATAATGACAATAATAAGTTTTATGTTGCTATAAACATAAGATATGTGAATTTAAACAACATGATGAAGTCACGGTGCATCTAAATTCTGAAAGACTCATTAGAAATGATCTCATGCAAATTGAGTGCAAGGAAGGTATAAACACTTAAAAGTATACAAAACATTGGAATTATGTCACACAATTTGAAATTTTGAAGAAATACATAAATATATATTTTAATTTATCTAATTTGACTTCATTTGATAAGCCTACTATCAATTCCTTGTATTATTCTTTCTTTCCACCTCTTCTATATGACTCTGCATCGAATTCTATACTAGATACTTCTATACAGCTTATTGATGAGTCAATTCTAAATAATGAGATTGTATCCATCGCTAAAGATGGATTCCAAATATATCATGCTCACTAGTGAGACAAATATTATTGTGATGGTTCATGGATTATTAGTAGTAAATACAAAATTTATGTTCTGAGCTATTTAATGATAAGATTAGAGAGAGTCGCCTTAGATGGTTTGGACACATTAATTTAATTCAGCTTATGACCCGGTTAGGAAAGTTGAGGTATTATATTTGACTTATGTTAAGAAATGTAGAGGTAAACCTAAAAAGACTTGGTTATAAAAAAAAATATTAGAAATGATCTTTTTTTATTAGATTTAAATGAGAATTTAACTTTTAACAAAACACAATGAAGAAAAAGGATTCATGTAGTGGACCCTACTTAGTGGGACAAAGGCTTGATATTGTTATTGTTGTTGTTGTAAGCTATTTAATGAATATCAAAATTTGATGGAGCCCTGTTTACTCTCTCGTTGGAAGCATCACATTAAGGACTAATATAAGCAAAGCTTATTTGCTTAATTTTATTATTTGGGAGGCAAGGCGCAAACCCAGTCCATCTTAAACCCTAATAACATGCAACCAAAACACAAAAAAATTCTGCCAAAGCTATAAACCCTAACTAAATCTGTATTCCAGATCCCAAAAAACATTGCGATATTGCAGGAGAACATGTTGATGCCGCCGCTCAAAGCAGCCAAAGACAAACTTCAATTAATGAGCCAAAAATCTCGGAATATCCCGGTGAATCGATCCGCAAATTCCCTATTACTAAAATATGAAAGAAAAAGAGCAAGAGGGAATCAGGAGGAGGGACAAATATAGGGCGGGATGGCATCTTACTCCGCTTGTTCCTTGAAATCCTTCACACGGGCTCGCATCGCCCGCTTAATCTCCGCCTCTGTCTCCTCCTCCGTCCTCTTCGTTTCAACCTCCATTGTTCCTCCCTAAGCCTATCTTCGCTTGACAGATGAGCGAGTCCGTCGCCCTTCCGCCTACGAGACGCGGTGTGTTCTGATATGCCCACACCGGACACTGTAGAATTCAAGAGCCAAGGAGGCAAATTATTGGGTGACGGATCTTGGGTGACGGGTCAGATGATGGGCAAATTATTGGGTCAGGTGACCGAACGCAGAGATAGGTTCGGATAATAATAAAATATTATTTTAAAATTAGCGCAACTAAAGCGCAACTAAAGCGCAACCAAAGCGCAACTAAAGCGCAACCAAAGCGCAACCAAAGCGCAACTAAAGCGCAAGTCAAAAAGCGCAACTAAAGCGCAACCAAAGCGCAACTAAAGCGCAACCAAAGCGCAACTAAAGCGCAAGTCAAAAAGCGCAACTAAAGCGCAAGGTGACGCGGCAAATTTTTATTGGCTGTCCGAACTTATCTTTTGGCTCCGGTCACCTGACCCAATAATTTGCCCAGATGATGGGAGGCGAAAAATAAGTTCGGAAATCCAATAAAAATTTGTCGCGTCACCTTGCGCTTTTGACTGTGCTTTTGACTTGCGCTTTAGTTGCGCTTTTATTGCGCTTTACTTGCGCTTTACCTGCGCTTTACTTGCACTTTTTGACTTGCACTTTAGTTGCGCTTTAGTTACGCTTTACCTGCGCTTTAGTTGCACTTTACCTACGTTTTACTTGCGCTAAATTTAAAATAATATTTTATTAATATCCGGACCAGGGCGGGATGGCATCTTACTCCGCTTGTTCCTTGAAATCCTTCACACGGGCACGCATCGCCCGCTTAATCTCCGCCTCTGTGTCCTCCTCCGTCCTCTTCGTTTCAACCTCCATTGCTCCTCTCTAAGCGTATCTTCGCTTGACAGATGAGCAAGTCCGTCGCGCTTCCGCCTCCAGACGCGGTGTCCCGGTTTTGTTATGCCCACACCGGACACTGTAGTAATTCAAGAGCCAAGGAGGCGTGGCGAGGTTAGGCGAGCCTAACCGGCATGAGTCGCATGACAGTAATCGCATATCAAAACATCTCAGGTTAATTGATTGGGTGAGAGCTTTCTAAGAAATAGATGACTTGATTTGGAAATATTATTCTATGGGTATACAGAAACGGTAGATTAATCAGAACGCCCACATCATCTAAATATCGAGCGGTACAAAGTATTGATACCGAACAAAAAAATAACATTACATGTTCTAATTGATCTGTTTTGTATCCGCACATAATAATTTTTCCATGCTTACACATACGGTAGTGTATAAATTTACTTTATTTTTTTAGAAAATGAATTTTATTTATTTGACTCCAAAGTCTTAAAAAATATTATAGTAATTTTTTCATTTTCTTATTTAGAATTTAATTTCAAATATAATTAAAACCGAATTATGCTATCATGAAATTAATATATTTTTTATTTTAAATATTATAAATATTCTTTTGAATGATGAGCAAAAAAAAATCTTTAAAAATATAATTCGAATTTTGAGATGACAATCTTCTTTTATCAGTAAATAATTCAAATAATATAATTTTAAGTTAAAATAATTATTTTAATTAATTAATTATTCCATCAATTATCTTCAATTTTTAAATTTTAAATCATATTAAAAAGTAAATTATTTTAATACACCGAAATAATTATACATATATAACTTTAATTTTAGGGGTTGCTTAATTGAAAGTAAAATAGATATGAAGTATTGAAGTAAACGAAATATAGAGTATAATTTTGAAGTATATAAAATTTATCCTATAGTTTAAATTTTGATATATTTAGGCGGGCGAAAAATATATTATAAATTATTCGGTATTGTCATCACATCACTGCTTAGGGCCACCAAATAGCAAAAAATTATTCTGTGCAGATACTGGACAGCGTCTACAGACCAACCAAAATAAATCACGTTATTAAAATTTATACTTGACGTGGCCCATTTTGAATGATCTCCGTACCATCCATTGTCCGCACAAATTAATTTCTCCCAAACAGCGTTAACAATTTCCCGACTTTTAATCATTCAACTCAAACAGTCAAACTCTTCCACTATAAAAAAGAATTAAAATTTAAAAGTTCTTCTAATATGGCTAATAATTAAATTTTATTTTTTACTATTTAAGTATTTATATCATCTCTTACACCGCAAGGGTATATCTAGTGTATGTTTGAATACACGTTTATTGCTTTTGTTGGAATAACTAAGCAAATAAAATCAATTTGTACAGGACATGTTTCAGACTTCTTAATACCATTGTGGCACTGTTACCATCAGAATCCACCCTTAGCATATGAAGGGTAGAACAAACAATGAAATCATTGTGAAGAACATTACAGGTTCAAATTCTCAATCGAAGTTTTTTTTTTTTTTTGGATTGCTAGTTTATGTACAGCACAACATTTACTGATTGTCGTAGAACTAGAAGAAATGCTAGAAATTAAAGAGCCTTGAGAATAAATTTGGCGGATGAAGAAGCACCTTTGGCAGCAGCTTTCACTATAGCCCGGTGTCTATACAAGCTGCAACAAGTATAGATATTAGATCTCAGTGGTAACAAGAAGGCATTCATTCTCCAACCACATAAAACAAAAAGAGTTCAGACAAAATGAACCTTGATTACAACAACAAGGAGAAGAAGAAACTTTTATCCCACTATGCGGGGTCGGCTACATGAGCCATTTTTTCTATATTATATCCTATTAAGGAGAAATTATTCTTTGCGGACGCCGAATGCCGTCCGGAGATCAACCAGAATGAGTCACGTCGGTACCCCGGCTCGGTACCGCTTGGTATTGCTGACGTGGCTCATTTTGGTTGGTCTCCAGATGTAGAGCTGCGTTCGGCGTCCGCACAGAATAATTTCTCCCTATTAAGGGTCAAATTCTCATCTAAATCTAATAAAGAAATGTCATTTCTAATATTTTCTAACCAAGTTTTTTTAATCTAAATCTCATCTAAATCTAATAAAGAAATGTCATTTGTCTTTCTTAATATAAGTCAAATCTAATACATCTACTTTCCTAATAGGTAATCGGAAAGCAACCGTTTTATGTGACCAAATCATCTAAGACAACTCTCTCTAATCCTTCCACTAGAGCTACTCCAACCTTTTCGGTACAAAATGAACCTTGATTACAATAAGAGAAAATAAAACTCCAATATTTTGAGGTTAGGCTTCTGCAATGTAAAAGTAAAGCTAAGTACGTCAACCCTCAACCTTTTTCCATAGCAATTTAGACAGGTTAGGCATACCTTCTAATATAAGATGATTACACGCTATCTATTCCAAAGATCTCAAAAGCTTCAAAGCTAAAATCTAGGGTTTAATAATATGGTCGGTAAGTTGAGCTGGGTCGCTAGCTGAGAACCTTCATATTGATCAAGTCGTCGTCTTAATTTGATCCACTCTATTGATTAAGCCACTAAAGCTCACCAAAAAGACAAAAAAAAAACTACTATAGTAAAGCAAAGGACCTTCTTTAATGAAATCTAAAAGATTAAGCACAGCGCTAAAGATGGTGAGAAATACAGGGAAAAACATAAAAACTAAGTCATCATTTAATATGAACAATGAAAATTTATGTTTCGTTTGGGACAGCTTTTTTATTGCTTCTTAAAGTAATTTTTTAGTACACAAATTTAAATTTTTGTACTGTAAAATTATTTCAAAAAACAATAAAAAAAGTCATCCCAAATAAAACCTTAGAGCATTAGTGATCACAAAGGTCAAATCATGCAAACCAGCGGCATCAGAACACAAGAACGGCATAAGATGGACTATATAGCATATAGAAATGGCAGGACCCAAGCAGTTAATGCCTTATGTCAACTGATAATGTGGATCAGAAATAAGAATTTAGAAAAAAAAAAAGAAGGCATGAATGTCAGAGTTAACCAGCGCCTGTTTGAAACCGTACCCATTTATCATGTTTTTATGGTAAGTTTATGGAACGGAGAAGAGGCACATGGTCCAAAATTAAATTTACGAGATGAAGCAAAAAAACATGGAAGGTTATCTCACCCTGCAAGAAAAATTCCCCAGAGTGACATAGTATAAATGATTTTTCCAGCTTCCCAAACGCTTTTGAACTTCCCCCTGCTTCTGATGTCACCCAAAGCCTTAGTGACAGCTGCATTGTCAGAATTAGCGTCTACATTACTAAAGAAAAATACGGGCTAACTCAAAGCTCAAACAAAAGTTCAAATCATATATTATAAAATTTGATAATTTTATTAGCAGATCCTATTGAAAACTGACAAACAAACTAATAATATAAACAAAAAAAAAAAGATGGAAGGAAACCAACAAGAATGGTTTCAATCATAGCTTAAACTGTTCAAAACCACAAAGGGCGCTGCATCTTAGTTGAACTCAATCCCACATAATTATGCGTTATTATTGCCGAACACAACTCATACCAGTAGCCGAACATTTAAGCAGAGACTTACGTTCTGAGACATAAATACAATGCAGCAAGAGATGCAGAAATTAACTAAAACAGACAATAAGAAGAATAACTAGAACAATAGCAATCCGTAGAAAATATGATTTAGATTCCATTTGGGATAGCTGTTTTGCTATTTTCTAAAGCAGCTTTATAATACAAAAATTTCTAATTTAAAAATTTTTTGTATTAACAAACAGCTTTAAAAAACATCAAGAAAGCTATCCCAATCGAAGTCTTAGTCTCAATCGAAGTCTTAGTCTCACATGGGAGGAATTCCGTGAAACTCAGAACGATGAATAAAGAAACAAATAAAGCATCATATGGAGTTTTAAGAATGGATGCAGAAGTGAAAACAGAGCAGGAGTAGAATCATATATATATATATATA